CCTGTGGTAATGATATCAAGTTCTCACACTTACTCATATCAAAAGTTGTCAAAGATATAAGGTTGCTAATCTCTTTTGGCAATGATATCAACTTCTTACACCAAATTATATCAAATATTGTCAAAGATTTAAGGTTGCCCAACTCCTTTGGCAAAGATGTCAGATTCTTGCAATAATTCATATTAAATATTGTCAAAGATGTAAGATTGCTCAATTCCTTTGGCAATGATGTCAAATTTTCACACCTAATTATATCAAATGTTGTCAAAGATGTAAGGTTGCCTAATTCATTTGGCAATAATGTCAAGTTCTCGCAATAATTTATATCAAATGTTATTAAAGATTTAAGGTTGCCTAATTTATTTGGCAATGATATTAAGTTCTTGCAATAACTTATATCAAATGTTATCAAAGATGTAAGGTTGCCCAACTTGTTTGGCAATGATGTCAAGTTTTCACACCTACTCATATCAAATATTGTCAAAGATATAAGATTACCCAACTCCTTTGGTAATGATATCAAGTTCTTGCAATAACTCATATCAAATGTTGTCAAAGATGTAAGATTACCTAATTTCTTTGGAAATGATGTCAAATTCTCACACCATCTTATATCAAAAGTTGTCAAAGATGTAAGGTTGCCCAACTCCTTAGGTAATGATGTCAACTTCTTACACCAACTTATATCAAATGTTGTCAAAGATGTAAGATTGCCCAACTCATTTGGCAATGATATCAACTTCTTACACCAACTTATATCAAATGTTGTTAAAGATGTAAGGTTGTTCAATTCCTTTAGCAATAATGTCATGTTTTTGCATTCACTTATAGCAAATGTTGTCAAAGTTGTAACGTTGTCCAACTCCTTTGGCAATGATGTCAATCTACTACATCCTTCAATGCTAAACCATTGCATAGAAATCAAGTTTTCTATTGAGTTTAGTAGTGCCTTTAACCTTCTACATCTTTTTAAATTTAAGATCTTTAATGATATTAATATATGCATATTTTTTGGTAATGTTTCTAAATTCAAGCAACCTTCTAAATCAAATTCCAATAATGCATTCATTAAAAATATTGAATTAGGAATTATTTCTATGAACTCACAATTTTTCAATTGTAAAACATTTAAATTCTTCAACTTTTCTAAAGCTTTACTGTCAAAGATTTTATAATATAAATTGTCCGCAATGTCATTAGACATAGTTCTTGGCAAATCTATACATAACATGAGTGATTTTAATTTGTATGATTGCTTCAATAATACACTTAATTTATTCCATATTGCTAAAGCTTTTTTTGATATATTTTCTTCAATTATAAAGATCAATAGTCTTAATGAAGAATAATTCATATCTTCAATGTTACTTTGCATGTTAATCTCTTTCTTGTTAAAACATAAACCTTCCAACTATCATACAATCAAATAAAACCAAATTAAGTATTTCAACTTATCTATTAACTTTTTAAATCTCATATCAATATAAATTCAACATCAATATAAGATATCTTATAATTACCTATATACTATTATATCACCTCACAAAACAATGATACACCATATCTATAAATACTACATGCAAATTATTTATGATCATTCTTGATTGTATACATCTTATTTATATATATGTCAAGTCAAGTACCTTTGTTGTGAATCTGTGTGTTTCAACCAAGCTCAATTTCCATATTCTTGAGCCTTTATATGTATTGTTTGTTTCAACAATCATTCGACCCATGTCTTATAAATGGTCATGCATTCTTATAATTCCTTCTTTATCTATTTTTACCAATGAATGACTAATCAATGTATCTAATATATCTTCCATATTTTGCTCCAAACCTAATTTTTTATTGTTTGTCCATATTCGCAATACTCTTTCTTTTGACATTCCATGTGGATACACATCACTAGTAAAGAAAAAACAAATGTCCAAAAACATGTCTTTTTCTTCAACTTTTAATTTATCAAAGCTTTCTCTTAATATTGTCCAAATCTTATGGTCACTATTTTCTTCATCTCCATCCACATTTCTTGTTCTTTTTAACCTTTTTAAAGCTTGCTTCCAACATCTTACTCTCTTTTGTCTTCTCAAAAATGCTCTCATAACTTTTAAGCTCAAAGATAAGCCATTGTAAGCTTTCACAGTCTTTCTACCTACATCATCAAATTCTTTAGGCAATTCAACTTGCTTTCCATGAGAGTAAGTAATAAATAACTCTAAACTTGCACCTTCTTTAAGTTCTTCAATATCCACTCTATGAGGCTCTATAGAACAATCCTTCATGTAATTCCAACTTCGTTTAGTTACAATCAAAGTGCTTCTATTGCTTGCATAAAATTCATCTATAGGTACAATGTCTCTGATTTCACTTTGTTCCTTCATATCATCAAACACCAAGATGGTTTTCTTTGACCTCAAGTGTGACTTCCACAATACTTGTGCATCTTCCAAATTCTTTGGAGTTTCTTCAATCTTGAGTTCTTTCAAAATGTTACAACAAATGGTGTAGCTATCACCATTATTTTGAATGTTCTCAATAAAGCATGAGGCATCATACATATACTTCACATTATTATATGTAACCTTTGCCATTGTTGTCTTGCCTATTCCACCCATGCCAACAAGATATATTATCTTTTCACCTTTTTTGCATAGCTCTAACAACTTGCTTGAGTATTCTTGTCTACCTAGTAGATGATCTTGCAAGTATACCTTTATAAACAACCACAATTGTTATGCCAAAACATACATATTGCACATGTTGTAAAATAATATTATTATATACATACATGTTTCCTTTACGTACACCATTCAACTACATGAATTTGTTTCTAATCTACATCAACCAATCAAACAAAGAAAACATAAATTATCCCAAACTTTATCATTGGATTGATATATATTTTATCCTTTTCTATGTCTTAGTGATCTTTCTCCTTTAAACCACTAAAAGAAGGGCATTTATTTTCATAAAATCCAATTAAAAACTTTCTCTTCAAACTTGCAAGTTTCTCACAAATATCTCCAAACTTTGGACGTTGTAAAGGATTGAAACTCCAACATCTTTTCATCAACTCATTCAACTCATCACAATTTGAAGGTAACTTTGGTCTTTCTCTTGTCTTTACCTTTTTTAATATTTCTTTTCGTTTATAAATTCTAGAAAATGGTCTTTTTCTTGAAAGAATCTCTGAACATGTCATTGTAAATGAATATACATCTGCTTCAAAAGCACATGTTTTTATTGCCTTGTCTTCATTATTTAATATTTCCGGAGCCACATATCTTAATGTGCTATAAATAAAATCATTACTTTTACTTTTTGGGGTCCTTCCAACATTGATCTTAAAAGTCCCTAAATCACTTATCTTGTAATATGCACATTCTTCACTATTATTCTTGATTTTATCTTTTTAAAATTTTACAAGTATATTATCTGGCTAAAGATCTTGATGTGCAATTTGCATGTCATGCAAATAGCACATTCTTTTTGCAATTTGATACATAATATCAATCAACAAATCATATGCCATAAATTTTTTTTTCTTCAACATGTCAATCAAACTCATGTCCATTAATTTTGTTACTAAATACAAAGTTTCATTTCTCTCCTCTATAGGATAACTGTCACTAAATTTATTGATATCCACTCTTGTAGCATAAAAATACTTTACAAGGTTGGAATAGCTCTAACCTGCTAAAATGTCCACTTCAATAGGAATATGTTCTTCAAAAGTACAAACTATTACCTTTGTGGCACTTAACATTCCAAACCACTTTGATTTGTAAACAACTCCACTTCCACCTTTACCTATGCAATTGTCGATTTTAAAGCTTTCAATGTCGTTTGAAAGTTCCAAAGCATCTAACTCTCCACCTTCAATGCAACATAAATCTTTCCATCTTTGTAATAGATATGTAGCTAATCCATATTCTTCAAAACAATTATCTTGGTTTCCATCAACCAACCTCTTATGGAGACTTACATCATTTCTTTCAACTTCATCAAATGTTGCAAAATTACACATAATATGTGCAATGCCTTCAAATTCTTTTGAATAGTGCATTGTCATGACATCACTTGCCACATTACAACAAAGAATCAAATTTGAAATGATTTCTCTAAAACTTTCTTTGTTTTTCATTTGAAAGAAGATTGCTTCATACCATTTTCTATCTCCACAATTTTCTAACAATAAGTAGCTTTTGCTTACCACAACATGCAACTCAACAAATATGGGCTTGCCCTTTTCAATGTTATCATCATAAGTCAATACTTTCATCACCTTATCAAATACTTTCATCACATGGACAAGTTGCATATACAAACTTGTACATTGATTTCTATTCATCATATCTTTTGTCTTTAATAAATCATCCATTCTTTCAATCAAAAATTGACATTGCATGTGAATACTTTACCCCTTCTTGTGTTCTTTTCCTAATGAAGATGCAATTCCTTCCAAACAACTTATTATACAATTAGCCATGGTAGATTACTTATAAATATTCAAGTCTAATCCTTCAATTACACAATCAAGATACCTAAACATGACAAACAAAAGAATCAAGATTTGTACATCTTACATCAATACATACTTTGGTTAGATCCAAACCTTCATCTTCAATTGCATCAAGCACTATTTTTAATCAATAATGTTCAAAATCCACTTTTCCAAATTATCAAAACTCACAACTATAAATTCTTCAAATACTTGTGAGAAGCATATTTAATCCTATAAATTGCACTAAATATCAAACAATAATTTTCTACCATTCATTATTATCATATTCTCTTCACCAAGATCTTCTCTCATGACACTTTATACAAAAAAACACTACTCACTCAAAAGAAAAACAACACATTCTCTTAATTATTATTATTATTATTATTATCAATTTTTAGTTCCTTCTCATTCCCTTATATATTCTCACAATCTCATAAAAATGTTCTTTGTTATCAATATTTCACATTACAAATATCTGGTACTTAATCACTTACCATTAAAATTAATCATCACATATATGTAAGTAAACCATCGAATATTTACATATCTAGAATTGTTTCAAGACATATCACTAAAAACTTATTTTGACCTCCTAACATCCAATGTCTTCTCTATCAAGTTGTAAGTTAGACAAAGCACCATTGCAATAAACTGCCGTTGCAACACTGACATTTATTCGGTAATTGGCATCCACAATGCACAGAAGATTTAAGAAGCCATCAGTCACTACGCGGTTTCGTACAGGTTGCAGCAACGATCACTACAACCACACATGACAATTAGCCAGAAGTTACAAGTTCATATAACGAAGACTTCGACATGAAGTACAATCCCACTAACTCCTGGGCACACAGAAGCTGGCGATTCTACATCTTCACGTGCCCCGCTAGACCACTGTCGTTGACTGCTTGAAACAACAGATTATGGACATCATTAAAGTTGAGCGTCGACATAAACTGATCAACTTGAGAAGAATTCAGAATTTGACAGTGCAGAGATAAGTGTCTCATACAAGAATGGACAATGCAGAGGAGAGGCAGGCACAGTCCTAAAAGGTTCGACAACATCCAATGGGGTTTGGCTTGTTTCAATAGAGGAACTCAGGGACTACGGAACACGATGCGGGGAAGGGAATTGGCTGACCTCAAATAGTAATGTGAACCGACAGACTCGACGGCTTAGCTTTGTACTTCCGCTACCTGGGCCTCACTGCACAGGTGCATGTGGGTAGGAGCCAAGTATCCACAGGTAAACGTCGATAGATTGAAGCTTGACAGAAAAGAGATCACAAGGGACAGCGCACTGTCCTAGCTTACCGCGCAGGGTGAAGCTTTTGACGGGGAAAAAGTGAAAAATCTTGTTGGAAAGAGGTTGGCCACGGCCTTCAATCTATCTGGTATGCAGCAGCCCCGAAGCGCGGTCATGACAGTGAAGAGAGAGGGCACATTTGAAGAGTTTGAGAGTGAGCTCAGCTGCGTAGGTACGCTTACAAATCAGCCACAGTGTGTGCAGTGTCAAAGGACCAATGCCGTGTGAACACTCAGAATAGCAAATCTTGGCGCTGTCGGAAACGTAAAGCATCGCCGAGGGGGTGACGCGCTACTGATGTGGGTTTGGAGGATTTACAGACCCTACACACAGTGCCCAGAGTATTGAAACAGTCGGTAGGACCAACTACCACCGATGGCGATTCCAACCATGTGGGAGGGAAAGAAACTGAAATCAGACTTGGAAGCAGAAACATATTCACAGCAACGCAGAAAACAGAATGTCGATCTTACGTACCCCAGCACAACTTAGCTAATACCACCAAGGGGGAAAATGAAAACGAAGACTATTATCTGGCGATCTTACCTTAACTCCACCATCACGACCCTCAAGCTACCATGCAGAATAAGTCCAGATTGTATGCATACATCAGATGGCTGGAATAAAGCCTTTATCACACAAGGAAGAGTCAAAGACAGCCTCCGATGCACACCGACGAACCAGACACGCACTGCAACGGTTAATGATTAGCTAGCGTGACGAGGAGAGCGGAATATAGAGTTGCCGCTGCAAGCGCTGCTGCAACAGCGGCAGATTACGCCGGACAGATCGTCCACCGCCATAGAAAAAATCCAAATATAAATGCAAAAACAGGAATCCGAACTTCTGCTCCAATCTCCAAATCCTTCAAACCAAACAACGATTCTTCCTTCGCAAGCTATCTGAAACCACGACCTCCGTCACCAAAAACGAAACCCTCTCAGAGGAGAACCTAACAGGCAAACCGACAGCGCACCATAACGCTCACAGCACTGACAAGCACATCGTACACAACATTCCAAGTTCTCTTTATTCCTTCTTCCGGCGCTTATCTTTGCCTGACAGTTCCGAAATAACTCCACCACAACATAAAAACACCGCACCTGCACGCGCACAAACAAGGTTTCGAGGGCACGCTTGTAAGCCGGAAAAATGAAGGATGACGCACCTCAGTTGAAAGACTTGCTCGTCAAATGATTTTGCTGAAAGAGTACACGGCGAAACCCTACACGCTTGAAGAGTGAGCGGTGAAGAGGGAGATCGAGCTTTGTATCACTGAACCAAAGACGGAAGAAGCAGCAGACGACGAAGAAGACCAGGGAAGCAGAAAGGTCGAGCAATTCCTCCTGCGGCTTACACCCCCACCCTGAGTCGGTCGCGGTTTCCGGTCGCTGAGTCCCACCTTCAACTGGGTTTAAGAAGCCATCAGTCACTGCACTATTCTAAAGAATTTGAAGGCATTGCACATACTATGTGTAATCTTGCTGTATTTGATAAAATTGAAGGAGATGATATAAGTCTTTACAAGAAGTTGGTTGATGGAAGCCAAGATGATTGTTTTGAAGAATGTGGATTAGTTAAATATCTATTCCAAAGATGGAAAGACTTGGGTTGCATTCAACATTCACATCTTTTATTAGTGTTGTATTTGGAAGAAGTGAAATAGTATGTTCTTAAATGCTAGGAGGAATATCTTTTAAATCTTTATAAGACCATGCAAATATATCATGATATTCCATTACTTAGAATTTATATTTCTCAAGTTCTTCTTCACCTAATTGGGATTCAAACTTGACATATTTGGATTATTTTTCATCATGATTGACTAGAATTTTGATCCAATCTTGTTCTACCACATGTTAGGGGTCAGTAGGTCAGTAGTACTAATCTCTAGATATTGATAGATAAGTCAATATATCATATCCAACTTCAATACCTTAGATAGTATGCTTAAATTATAAGGGAAGAGTCATGATAGTTTCTTTTTTCACGATAATATCCAAATTTTCCACTTGAGTTCTATCAATTTTTAAGTTAAAAGCATTATTTACACCAATATCATCAATCAAAGTTGTAAGATCTAGATAATCATCTTCAAGTTCTAAGCAATCAATTACTTTTGTAAATCAAATATAGATGTCTTTTTCTTTGTAAGGATTCTCTTTTAACCATTTGGCAAAATCACCTTCATCTTCATATTCATATAATTCAAGACTAATATATCTTATTGGTGCAATACTTGGATTTGAATTGGATTGGATAAAATTACTTTGATTGGCCTCTATAGATATTGGTGTGTTTTTTTTTTTTTTTTTTTTTTTTTTTTTCTGATGGAATAAAAGATTGGAGTCTAAAGTAACTAAATACTATGGTTGTTGTGTAATTGTCTAAAGATCTATAAGTGAAGTAAGGCTTAAAAGTCCTCCAATTTGTTACTTCTTTAGATTGCCTCAACCATCTTCTTTGTAACAAGAGATGGTAACTATCTACCTCTTCATATAAACATATTACATAAAATAATATTGCAAAATCTACATCTCTTGCTTGCATATAAAGATCTTAAGTTTGACCTAAAACTTGATGTGATCATTGATCAACTAATTTCACTTTTATAACTACTTTGTGAATGATTTTCAAAGCCAATTTATTCATGGTAGATTTATACATAATATTGATGATACTTCCATCATCTACTATAACCTTAGGAATTATTTTATCCATTAACTCCATATCTATTTCAATAGGTCCATATTCTCTATTGTCTTTTTTTTCTTCTAAGATAATATTTTATTTTAAATCATCAATTTTAAGGGCTGCTACCAATGGTAAGAAGAAAAGGGCTACTACCATGCTTTTATGTGATTAATGCTAAAGAAAGTGACATATGGCATGTTTGATACCATATCTTTCAACTCTCCTATGAAGAGATTGGATTTGTTCTCATTATAAGAAGTTTTTTAGCTATACTTCATCTCTTGATAAAGATTGAAGATTTTTTCTATTATGTATATCACATACTTCAATTCTCTAACTATTATAATACTAGTTTAAAAGAGTACAATTTGGCATTCACATCATTATCACATTTTTCTTCAGCAATGCCTATTTTGTAGTCCTACTTGATTGGAGGGGCTCTAAATCAATTCGGAGAGGCACTTGAAAGTATGTTGGATATGCATTTGTATTTGGTTTAAATTACATACTTTATAATTGATTTATAGCACTTGATATATTATAAGTAATGATCCTTGTTTATATGACAGCTATCACATTGTTGTATGGTATGATTTTTATATCTAAAAATATATCAGGTACCTAGTTGTAGAAAATTTAGCTTCAACTTATTGACCAAGCTCCAATAAGTGATTTATTCTTATTATAGAGGCCAAATAAATATAATAGTATCAAAAAATATTCTATTAATAAAATCTTTTTATATTTAAGAAGATTTATACACAAGGCTTTCTAAAACATTAAGAAATGCCTTAACATTCTTTGCTATACCAAATCATAACTAACTATTTGTCAAGAAGTTAGATTTCTTATAAACTTAAAGAAAATTCATAATCTTCTTACAAAAATTCATTTTTATATCATAATTTTGATATAGCTCCATATCTCCACCTTTAACATGTATATAAAGTCTTGGTTTTCAAAAACCCTTTTACTTTGTATAAATACCCAAGTTGTAGCAAAATCCTTTTAAAATATTTTTCTTCTACAAAAGATATATTTTTCCTAAATTTTAGAATATTATATTTTTTGATTCAACCATTCAATTTTTTTCAATATTTTAGAAAATATAGAATTCACTCTTAAGCTTTATCAAAAAATAAATCAATTATAAATCTACTATAGATCATTTGGCATCTTAGAAATCCTAGCACGTACTCTAGATCTTAATTTACAAGCATTCAAATACAATTTTCTTCATATTTCAAAAATCCAAAATCAAAATGCTACAAAATTTGTGTATAGAATTTAATAACATAATAATTTATATTTTTAGAATATTTGATCCAAAATCTTATCAAATTACTTAAGATATAGTTCAAAATACAACCACTAGTAAATCGGATTACTTACTATTCCTAGATTGTAAGTACTAACTTCAACTTCTTATATCTCCTTCATTCCAACTTAGAATTCATCAAGCAATATACAAAAAATATAGCTAAGAAAGTGTTCTTTTCAATCCTAGTTGTAAATCTTTTTTTGCTTTTGGTTTGCATGTATTATGTCTAAAAGAATGATTGTAGGTACCAAATCAATACCTTAACTTTGAGCACCTATATCTCTTTCATAAAAACTCCAAATCACTCAAAATTTATACCAAAAGTATTGTGAAAAACCTAAATTTCTTGATCCTAGTCTCCTAAGTTCAAATGCCCTTGAAAGAATAATCCTAATTTCTAATAAGATCTTAAGCAACTTCGTTGAAGTCCATAGGATATGAATTTTGATCAATAAGAATAGAAATTTTTATTCTCTATCTCTATTTATTGATATGATTGGCCAAATTATTTTTTTTATATAAAAATATTTTTTCAATCTTTTTTTTAATAAGTTTTATAGAATATATATTTTAAACACCAAATAAAAGAAACAAAGTAAGATTTTAAGAGCCACCAATATATTGTAAAGGTAGCTCTAAATATTTAAAAACTATTATCAATATAAAATCAACCTCAATATTAGCTCTTTTTAACTAATTACTTCAAAATAGTAATCTAATCATATTTTGTAATCAACTAAAATTTAATAACATGCCTTTCACTATATTGTATAATAAATTATATATTAAATATATATGTATACTATTTTCACATGATAGCTAAACTACAATACAATATCTATCCCTGCCAAACCTATGCATCCTCCCATATGCATGAAGAAGAATCAAAGTTGTAGTTGGCATTGTACTACTTCCTTCATATTGTCATTTTTATTTTATTTTATTTTATTTTTTTTAATCCATGTCTTCTTCTTCATTTATGAAGAAATCAATATCTTCTCCATGTTCTTTAATTGACATAATAGACTTTTATCTTTGTACCAATTTTGTTGGCATATATCAAATAACTAAACTATAAGTAGTACGATTTTATAATGCACTTAATTTAAGTGCATCAAAATTATTTGGAAGATAATTAAATTTAGAAGTACGAGAGGAAGAACATAATGCTAATATATTTACAAATTTGAATAAAATTTAGAATAAAAGGTTGTTGATTTGAATAGATTATTCAAGCTTGAAGGTATTATCTTTTAGGATAGATATCCAACTATATAGAGATTTAAGGTGGATATTGAGAAAAGGTTAAGATGGAGGTTTTAGAATCAAGTAGGATTTTTTTTTTTTTTTTTTTTTTTTTTTTTTGGTGGGAGTTTTTAGGAAGAGAGATTTAACACTAATTAGGATTTTTTTTATATCACTTATTATATTTTTTATCTTTTTATATTGATATTTAGAAAGTAACTAGATTTGATTGTAAGCTTTCCAACAAGCTATAGCACATAAGAAATAGAGCTATGAGAAAGGAGATCCATTTTTTTTATAAGAAGGGGGTTGTTGGAATTTTTAGAAGAGGAGATTCAACATTGGTTTGGATTTTTCTATGCCACTTCTTGCATTTTTATTTTTTTATATTAATATTTAAAGAAAAATCTAGGTCTGATTGTGAGCTTTTTAATAAGCCTTAGCACATAAAAAATGGAGCTAAATTAAAAGAGATCCAAGCAAATTTGTGGAAAGAAATTGCTAGAATTATTGTGCATCAAATTTCAAGATTGGTTTGGAGTTTTCTATGCCATTTTTTTTAGATTTTTTTCTTTTTTTTTAATTCTCAATGAGCGAAATTTTGCTTGATTTGGTAATAAATGAATTGTAGATATTTTAGTGAAAAGTGATTACAATTTGAGATTAGAGTTAAGAGTTGGATGCATCTTAGTACAAGAAAGAAATTAATCTATAAATTGTACCTAGACTTTGGGCTGATTTTTATATTTGATTTCATTTAGAATAATATTGTGCCTTCTTGTAAACTACTTTTGATCAAAGACCTTATGTTTTTGTGGAGAGGCTTATTCTCTTGACATAAATTTGGTACTTCTATTGAAAGCATCTTCAAAGCAATTGGGAGTACAAGAAGAGCACAATGGAGTTTGAGAGCTAAGATGTAAGCTTGGAGTATGAGGATGAGTTCAAAAATTTAAAGGAGAGAAGTGAGAGATTTTTGATATTCAAAGATGATGGGTGATTTTAGAGGGGTTGGTGCAAGTGGCACTAAAGGAGCAAGTGCCAATAAATTATTGTTAACTTGAGTATATTCATAGAAAGACAGCAAAAGATATAATCAAGTGAAAAGGGGGTGACCAAGGCATTGTAAGGCGTAGTCATCAATATCACAATACATGCATGTCTTAACAAATTCTTTTATTCTTTTGATGCATGAAAAGAAAGATTTGCA